ACCTAGCACCAGAAATGTGTCAGACTAACTCTGGGGCAGGTTTTACCTGATTACAACACCAGCGGGTCATTCCTGGGCCATTTCCTCCCCAGCTTGCTACTCAGGCTCCTGGCAGGCTGGCTGCTTACACTGAATGTTAGGAAGCCTGCTGCTCACAGTATCAGGTCTACAGCGTCTTTTTCCATCCGCTGGAATAAATAAGAGCTGCTTCCTTTCTAAGCAGCAGATCAGGTACTCTCCAGACTCCCATAAAGAAAAGAAGGAATAATAATAGTCATGTGAGTTTGCAGCTCTAATCTCTCTTTTCCACCCCAACCACAACCAACCTGATTGACAAGCTGGGCTGAGGTTGAGGAATTGGAAACTGAGCTGGTTCCTCGTTTCTACTGACTGAACAATTTCCTTTCTCCTTCTGTATACAGCATTTCTTTGTTTCTCTTCCCTGCTTCACCTCACCCAGATCCTTATCGTGTCCTATACCTGACACCAAATCAAAGAAGAAACCCAGAGGAGGCCAATTGTAAGCTATTGAGTTTGCTTTCATGTGTGACATTTTTTTTTTTTTCAAATTGAAGAGTCACATTTATTGCAAATCCGGGACTATGAGGGGGCATTTAGCTCTCCCAATTCTCATAGTCTATGTGTGACATTTTTATGATAAGGCCCAAGTGGCCATATCCAATGAGCAGAGCCAAAAGAAATCTTGGAAAAAGGCAAGATTCCTGAGGAATTCGTAGTTCCCAGATTCTTCTCCAACCCTCTCTCCTCCCATCCCCCCACCAACTCCCAACACATACCCACACCCACACACACACACACATACACACCCACCCACACTTAAAGAAGACTAATAGGATTAAAGAGAAATGGTGCCATCCTGCCCTATTTTCTCATGGCCTCTACTCTGACTTCCTCTTAAAAAAAGAAAAAGGGGGAAGCCCCTGACACTAAGAAGCTAGCCTGGCCCCCACAACTAGGTCATGCTGTTCTCCTATTAGATATAAACAATCTCATAGGCTCCCAACCTCAGATAAGGTTCCTCTGTGACCAAGATAAACGGAGGCAAAGCAAGGCCACTTCACATTCTGTGTAAGCGCAGACCGACACAAGGTCACCATGCCCCCACCGAGTGCTGCACACCATTTCTTGGCTGAAATGAGTGGCTACTATGTGTTTACCCATTTCAGCTCTGGTTTCCTGCTAGTCCCTCCCTCTGGATAAAGTGTGGCTGAGATGCACAGCCACCGAACTGTCCCCGCTTTCTGAGAGTACCCCATAGAGAGCACACCTTGCTTCCTCAGACCCTCCCCAAATGACCCGACCCAAGCCCAAATGCTATCATAGGTTCTTTCTAACTCCCTTGGCCTGAGACACCTCACTGTTCCTCATGGTATGCTCTCCCTCACTGCAATGAGTCATGATCCCAATTTATTTACCTGCAGATGTGTTCCTGGGGGTCTTTGGTTGAAGGACATGACACTCTCCAATCACCACCCTTATTTCCTCTCTTTGTGTATTTGTCATCTGTTACCATGAAGTGGTTAAGAACAAGAGCTTTGAAGTCAAATACCTGGCCCCAAACCCCAGATCTGCATGGCTTTGGCAGGTCACTCGGCCTCCCAGCAACTGCTTCAGGGAAACATGTCGATCCTCACACAGATCTGGGAGGGTCCCCGCCAGATATGCAAAGTGTGCATTAGAATGGCTAACAGCCTGTCAGAGATACCGACAGGAAGTTGTACCATAAATCTGTTTTGAAGAACTCTACTTGGCCCATAATCCCTAGGAACATGCCAACTAATGTCATCTTGCTTCAATTTATTGCAGTAAGTTTAATGACCAAATATATTGGTCCAAATTAACTGGCCCTCAAACAATAGTTATGAGTAATAGCTTTTCAGCAAAACTCCTACTCCATAGTGGAAGAATGTACTAGGGTCATGAAGATAAGACATTTTAGTGGATACATCTCAAGTTCTGTGTTGTTGTTGTTTTAATCCTCACCCAAGGGTAGGTTTTTATTAATTTTTAGAAAGAGAGGGAGAGAGAGAAAAAAACTTTGATCAGTTGCCTCCTGCACGCGTCCTGTCCAGGGACCGAACCCACTACCCAGGTATGTGCCCTGACCAGGAATCGAACCCACAACCTTTTGGTGTACAGGACGATGCTCCAACAAACTGACATACCCAGCCAGGGTTCTGTGTATTATTTTTAGCTACAAATGAGATCTCTGCCTATGCTGCCTTCACAGAAAAATCTCATAATCTCCTGACAATGTAATATTCCAAGGGCAAACACACACACACACACACACACACACAAAGATATTGGAGTCAAGAGAGACCTGGGTTCAAGTCTTATCTTTCCCTCTCACTTACTTTAGGGAGTTACTCACTTGAATCTGTTTTTTCTTTGCAGTTTGTATATACCTACATTTTTATTGGAAAGTTACAATAAAAAACACACACAAGGAAATTGACTAATAAAAAGCTAGCACTCAATTATTGTTATGCCCTACCCTTCACCAATCTCTCCCCAAAGGTCCAAAGTTACACACACTCACATACACACACCACACACACTTGCACACACGCTACACACATACACACAAGGTACAATTTTATTTGCATTTTCAACTTCAACAGCTGTCGGTGGAGCAATGGAGCCTTTGCCTGTACAGGCAGGGTCCCTGGGGAAGGGCCTCTTGACCACATCTTTGTGAATGCTTTCAAGACTCATCAGGCCCTCTCAGCAGGTACAAGACCATCTTCAGGGTACCTACACCAATCAAGGAGGCAATCGCTTAAATATATAAGGTACTAAGGAATAGACTTCTTAAGGAAGTTTTGGAATGTGATTGCAAAATAAATAATGAAACGTACCTGCCTGTGGCCCATCTTGAGGAGCATGGTAATGGCTTTTGAGAGCGACTGTGTATGTGTAGGACTTGGGGAAAGTGAGGTTTAGAGTCTGGCAGAAAATGTCTCATCTCACCCAAGAGTCCACTCACAGAGCATTTGGGTGCCCCCAGGAAACATGTCTGATAGAAGCTTGAGTAGAAGTGAGGGCATTAAGGGCAAAAAAAAGAAAACAGAGAGGACGTCTGGAAAAAGGTCAGAGACCAAATGAGAATGGGACATACTCTTTAGGGCCCTGAAGATACCTTTTCCAGGAACTAGGACCAAAATATAGCTTCAGGAAAACTCCAGCAAAGAATGAGAGAAGCCTAGGTGAAGGAAATATTGTACAATGACCTTGTGGACAGGAGACCCGAGTTTGCATCCTGAGTCTGCCACTTACTAGCGGAGGGACTTCTGGCAAGTCCCCCACCTGATTTTAACCCCCACTTCCTCATCTACCCTGCTTATCTCAAGATTCAACAGGATCCATAGAGAGCATGTAAAAACACTACAAGCCATAGAGTGCGATGCATGGTATTGTGAGAAAAAACACAATGAAATCTTATAGAACAGTCTTCATGCTCAGTACTGTGATGTCCAAACAGACTCCATCCATATAATCCTTAGCAATTATGGCAGGCACATCTACAATTCTCAAAAACCGTGGCCTTGCCCTAACCGGTTTGGCTCAGTGGATAGAGCGTCGCCTGCGGACTGGAAGGTCCCAGGTTCGATTCCGGCTAAGGGCATGTACTGTACCTTGGTTTCAGGCACAGATGGATGTTTCTGTCTCATCGATGTTTCTAACTCTCTATCCCTCTCCCTTCCTCTCTGTGAAAAATCAATAAAATATGTTAAAAAAACAAAAACAAAAACCAAAAACGTGGCCTCTTAGTGGCAGTTAATGGGAAATACACAGGGCAGGAATTAGCGGAAAACTCTGCTCCAAGGAGACCGAACTCCCCTGCTTGGGAGAGTGCCGGGAGCCGGTCCATCCTTGCTGTTTCAAGGGACCTGGCATATATGGCATACTGTTCTTAATATGTTTGCTCACCTTCTTGGCCCTATGTGTTTTAACCAAGGTCACATCTCTGAGAAAGGTTGTTTCCCCAGGTAGGGATTTTCCCCTGAAGTTAGGGAGGGAATAAAACCCCTTAACTAAAAGTGCCAGGTGGGTAATTAATCACTTTAACTACGAACAATCATGCTTAAGCTACATAATCTTTACTCCCTGGAATGGAGATAAGAAACGCCCTAACCTTTGGAATAGAGATTGATAGGATTGGAATCAACTGGTATAAATACAGATGTAACAAGACAACAGAACCCACAGAACCTAGACACAGAACCTACACAGAACCTAGAGACAGAAGAACTTCGCTGGAGAGAACATGGCAAAAGATCCTGGACAGAAACTGGAGACAGAACCTAGAGACAGAACCTAGCGAGAGAACATGGCAAAAGATCCTGGACAGAAACTGGCCACAGAACCTAGAGACAGAACCTAGCGAGAGAACATGGCAAAAGATCCTGGACAGAAACTGGCCACAGAACCTAGACACAGAACCTACACAGAACCTAGAGACAGAAGAACTTCGCTGGAGAGAACATGGCAAAAGACCTAGAGACAGAACCTGGCTACAGAACCTGGATAGAACATGGCAAGAGAACCTGACTAGAACCTGGAGACAGAACTTGGCTGGAGAACTGGCTACAGAACCTGGCTGGAGACCCTGACAAGAGAACCCAGCTTTGATGATCACCTGAACGCTGCCTCTGTGTCATTCCTTCTTCACCAACTCCGTCCACACCTTTGGGGACCCCTGGACCTGTTGGGGTTGGACCATGCCTCCAGCCAGTCCCTGGGCTTCATTCCCATGAGGTCAGGGGCACAGTGAGGAAATAAAGGTCTTAAAAAATTATCTTGCCCTGGCCTGTTTGGCTCAGTGGACAGAGTGTCAGCCCTCAGACTGAAGGGTCCCAGGTTTGATTCTAGTCAAAGGCACACACCTCAGTTGTAGGCTTCTCCTGGTCCCTGGTCAGGGCACGTGCAGGAGGCAACCAATCGATATGTCTCTTTCACGTTGATGTTTTTCTCTCCGTGTCTCTCCCTCTCCCTTCCACTCTCTAAAAATCAATGGGAAAATATCCTCGAGTGAGGATTAACAAAACAAAAAATGTTTTTAATTTCCACCTCAAGAAGTTTCATGAGTCATTTAAATGACTTGGACATTATGTTGGTTGAAAGAATTATAAGAATTATCTGAAGAATAGTAATAGACATAGTATAGTGATTACTAGCATTTAAAAAATGCAGATGCTTTGTTAATAGCTGAAAATGCACAGGGAGTTCCCACATGGCAGTAACTGTATGTCATTTCCATTGACTGAGAAATGGAATTCTCAAATATGGATTTTCAAGTTCCTTGCACATAGTCTCTTGCTTTATCCTCCTCAACCATAGCCAGGGACCCACAGCCTCCAAATTGAGGACCCCAGGATTGGGGGTTGGTCATTACAACGGTTCACAAGAAGGGAATAGGCACACGACGATGAAGAGAACAAAACCATGATGTGGCCGAGGAGACCAGAGGCACAGGCACTTGCCACAGGCCTGGAGCGGCTTCCACAAGGTGGCTGGACACAGGAAGAGCAGGGGAGGAACCGAAGATGAGGAAGAGGGGGAGTGGGAGGGCTGGTCACCGCTGTTTTGTTTGTAAGCTGTTTAGGATTATGGATACTGAAATCAACACATCTGTAGGCCTCACACAACAGTAAACAAGATTGAGCACCCAAAGCTTTTTTATATTTTACTGCAGAGGTATTTTCGATGTATTATTAGTCACTATGTAATTTGTAAACTGCTCATTCATACCCTACATGTACAAAATCATTTTACAAAAATTATTGAAAAAGTAGTAGATAATGTGTCTTCTGCTGGGATCTTACTGGAAGGTGTATCCAGGCAGGTGACAGGATTAGCAGCAGCAGCAGCCAGTACTGTGGCTGCCTCTCCATCTGGCCCTGTCTTCCGACCACCTCGTAAATTCCCAAGTCCACTGCATCTTGGTTCTTCACCTTTCTCCCCTCTTCTGCCGCTGTCTTCTCACTGGGACCAGCCTCTTCACAGATGGCCATGCAGGATAAACGAGGAATAGAAATACATCTTCGTACCTTTCTCCCTCCAGGGAGAACAGTTCTGGTTCTCTGGGACATTCAGCAATCTTATTTCCAGTGGACTTTTTTATCCCACAATGAACCACTTCAAACTTAAATAAATCTCCTTCAATTAGAGTTCTCAAGTAGCCTGCATGAGAGCTTTTGAGTCTTCCTTTTACACTTAGTCCTTCAAGCATCTATTACAATATTTTAACCTTCGTGATCAAAACAACTAAGAACGCTGTTTTGTTACTATTGCGTTATGTTCCATCTCACCAGGAGCTCTACTAAGAAAATACAAAACGGAAAAGTTCAGCTTGATAATCAGCTGCAGCACGTTCTTAATGTGTGCTACTAGGGGAAGTCTCTAGGCCAAAATTATTGCAATCAGATATCCAGTTCTTCCGAACATCACCAGACAATCCAGGGTCATGGGCCAGACCAGAAGTCCACTGTGATGTTGACATATAAAGGATTGTAATCCACGGATAGTAATTTATAAACACAACTGTTCAACCCATCTGTCCTCCAGACTCGTGACACCTGATGTAAGAGCTTCATCCTAAAGATAAAAAGAGCAAATGTGTAAGACAAGAATTTAACATATATTTCCATCGCTTTTTGCCTTGCCATAGAATTTTGCAAAAGCATCTAGGTAAATTATTATACCCGTTGGGTTTCTTACTGCAAAAAAGTTTATTGTTCCCACCTAAGGTAACAGACATCAATGACAGCCATGTGTTCCTGTGCCTGACTCCATGTGAGACCCTAGAGACAAATGATGAAGTGTCATGTAATAATGACACTTGCATACAGTGAGCCCCTAGCCCAGGGGTGGGCAAACTTTTTGACTCGAGGGCCACAATGGGTTCTTAAACTGGACCGGAGGGCCAGAACAAAAGCATGGATGGAGTGTTTGTGTGAACTAATATAAATTCAAAGTAAACATCATTACATAAAAGGGTACAGTCTTTTTTTTCAATAGTTTTATTCATTTCAAACGGGCCGGATCCGGCCCACGGGCAATAGTTTGCCCACGGCTGCCCTAGCCTATGGACAGAGGATTTACAGGTACAATATACACTGATACAGTGTGGTATGTGTAGTCCCCTGCTAGCAGGTCCTTGTATAGGCTTCAGGGGATCTATGAATCCTCCACTGTTGTTGCGTCTGTATGCAGGGAGTGTACATAGCTTTCTTAAGAATCTCAAACAAAGTCAGAATGTATAGAGAGCAGGATGAATTAAGGGCACCTCACTTCACGATGGAGTCTGGAGAGGGGTTGCAGAGAAGGAAAATTTGAGGCTTTAAAGAGGAGAAATTCACTACATGAAGAAGGTGAGGCAAAGGATTCCCAGGAAGAGAAACCACCCTGGGCAAGATACACAGACATGCAAACAGCAGAATGCATTTGAAGAAGAATAAGCAAGTGTGTGGCCAGAGCCTGGGATGTGGGTAAAGTGGGTGGTGAACTGAGCTGGTCCCAAGAGCCCAGCAGAGAAAAGCAATCCACTTCAGTGACAGTAACAATGTGCATGGAGATCAGAAGCACAATGTTGAGCTAAATAAAATCAGGGGAAGATGATACAGCAGGATTCCACTTATAGAAAATTGAGAAACATGTAAATTAAACCGTCTTTTGTGTAGGGATACAAATATGTGGGAAAACAAGAAAACCAAGAAATGGCACAAATAATTATAATTATCACAAAATTTCAGGAAATTGTTGCCTCCTGTCATGGGGGGAAGATATGAGGAGAGCCACACAGGTAACAGACATACATTGGGTGGGGGACACCACTAGTGTTCATGGTATCAAGAATCTTCAGATTTTAAATATAATTTATAAGTATTCTTTTTTATCTATTCAATAATAATTTTTTTTTATTTAAAGGAAAGATGCATGCCTATGGACAGAGACTAGTAAGACAAAGGGAAAATAGAAATATTTGTTTTGTTAAAGTGGTAGATTTTAACAAAAAGGCGAAAAGCCCACTAATATTGTTTTAAAATATAGACTTCAGAGGGGTGGAGGCAGGCTAGAAAGGGTCAATGGGGGGGACGGGGAAAGGGGACATATGTAAGACTTTCAACAATAAAGATTTAAAAAGAAAAATGTAGACTTCAACAAAAGGGCCGAAAGCCCTTTAAAGCTATTGGAAAAGTGAGGGGAGCCCTGATCGGGTGGCTCAGTTGGTTGAAGTGTTGTCCATACACCAAAAAGGTTGTGGGTTCGATTCCCTGTCAGGGAACATATGCAGGTTGTGCATTCAATCCCTAGTCGGGGCACATTGGGGAGGCAAGTGATCGATGTTTCTCTCTCACATTGGTGTTTCTCTCTCTCTCTCTCTCTCTCTCTCTCTCTCTCTCTCTCTCTCTCTCTCTCTTTCTCTCTCCTTTCCTCTTTCTGCAAATCAATAAAAACATATCCTCTGGTGTCTGTTTAAAAATTACCCAATAAAAAAGCTTTGAACGAAATAAACAGGCTCATCTGATCGGATTTCACAGCATCCAATACTGACAGAAGGAACTAAGCAGGTAGCCAGCAAGGCTCGGAAGCCAGGACTTACCGCCCTATGTTCACCTCATTGCCTCGGTCTCTAGTGTGGAAGATCATTGTATATTTACCCACATCAGGCATCGGCCGGATTATTTTCATTCTATGAAGTTCAACCCTAGAAAAAGGACACAAGTGGTTAAAAAAAAAATTCTAGTCTACTTACCTACCACTAGGCACTTAAACAGAATCATTTGTAAAAATTTATACACAGGTGCACACACAGTCAGAGTCACACATAGCTTGCTTATCTGCATATTAAAGAAAGAATTTTCTTAGAATGTTGGGCCTCAGGCAATAAGTCCATCAAAAAAAATCACACTTAACATTTACTTTTGGGGTACAAAGGAGATATGTCAATTTATAGTGTGTCATTTTCCAAAAGCAACTGAGAAAGTACATGTTTTAAAACATCATGATTTAAGATATATAAATGTCTAATCACTATGTTGTACACCTTAAATTAATATAATATTGTATGTCCATTGTAATTGAAAAATATTTTTTTAAAGTGTGACAAATAGAAGAATCAAGTCTCTTAGGATCCCAATTTACTTAGCACTTCCTCCTTTTTCCAAAGTAATAACAAGCTATAAAGCCCATGAACCTAGGTTCAAATCTAGACTTTGTTCTTTACAATCTTGGTAAGTCGGTTCATTGTTCTAGGTCTTGATTTCCCATCTATAAAATACCCAGGGTGTTATAGAGGTGATCAGACAGGCTCAAATGAGAGCGTCCACAGGAGCATGCTTTGCAAACCCCAAGTAATATATAAGTGCAAAGAAGGGTGGTGACTGCTGCACAGGTGAGCCAAAAAATATTTAGTAAATAAATCTCAACCAACTTTTATGTTAAAATCATCTAGTCATCCACGGCATTGGTTGGGAATCATTCTGAAGGCCCTGATGTTCTTATCAAACAAAAGCAAAACTTGGTGCTCCCCTGGACCTGGCAGCCAAGGAGCGGTGGGATAAAGGACAGCGATGATACATGATCAGTGCAAAATTCTACTAACCATCCATCTGGGCAGCAAAATGGACTTGGGGAAGATGATGGATGTCATTTACCTCTAGCCTTCGCTACTCTTGCCCTGAAATCGAGTGGATACCCTTTATCCACTTCAAAAGCCCCAGCCACATAGGCCTTGAAGAGCTGTTGCTGTCACATGGCCACTCCTATGGAGACTTTGGTCAGGGAAATCCACGCCCCTCCTGCCAGAAACATCCCAGACTCCAAGCCTACGCATGGGGACAAGACCAGCAGGGAGCCTTGGCTTCTTTAGGCTGAAGCAAGGGGAAAGTCTGGCAGTCACATATATGTTAATTCAGAACCGCAGCTAACAGAGTTCCTTCCCAAGAGACAACGGCAGGAGGAAAGGGGGTCCCCAGGAAGGCCTTGTTATTATAAGTCTAAAGACACTGGCCCCAGCCTGCCGGCGTGGCTCAGTGGTTGAGCATGACCTGTGAACCAGGAGGTCACAGTTCGATTCCCGATCAGGACACATGCCTGGGTTGCAGGCTTGACCCCCAATGTGGGGTGTGCAGGAGGCCGCCAATCAATGATTCTCTCTCATCATTGATGTTTCTGTATCTCTCTCCCTCTCCCTTCCTCCCTGAAATAAAAATACATATTTTGTTAAGATACTGGCCCTAGGCTCTTGAAAAATTACTTATCTCTGGGAGGTAGGGATGCTAATAGCTATCTGGCTACGAAACCCTGCTCAGGAGAGGGAGCTGAGAGAAGAGGTCAGATATATTCTCTCTGAAGCCCTCAGAGAGGAGAGCAGTCCAGGACAACATGAGGGTAATGCTAGCAGCCCGGAGGTCGGCCTGGGAGGCAGGCAGCAGCTGCTCCCTGGGTATGAGGGGCTGGCTAATGCCTAACTGAGAGGACCTCTAGGCCAGTTCCAGGTGTGCAGCTCCACGGGCTGCTGGCACTCCTTGCTCTGGGCACTGGGAACTGGGCAGGATTCCCTGGGGTCTGAGAGAAAGCACAGACTTATAACAAGCCCTCTGGCCACTTTCCTCAAATTACAGCTTTGCATTCACTGGTAAGACCTTTCTCAGTAAGCAGTGCTCACTGACAAGTCCACAGAGACCTCCGTCAACACTGCAGGCCCCTAACACCCGCGAGCCAGGAGCAGGCCACCTTCCATCATTTCCACACTGCCAGGGTCAAAGAGCAATCTGGGCATCTTCCCTCCACCCTGACACCCTTTACGCCAAAATCTGCGGCCTCGTGCCCTGCTGGACTGGCATCTATAGGAACTATAACACACAGGTTTCCAGAGCCATCACTGACCACAGAGCCCCGTGAAGGGGACCTGTCTCTGTTGTTCACCTGAGTCTGAGGTCATCGTCTTCGCCTCCCCATCCCCAGTAGTTGTTAGAGAATCCATTCACCTTGAAAAATTGCTCTCGGCTTAGGGCAGTAACACCCCCAAAATATCCGTTGTAACGCAACCTGGAGCAGAAGAGAGGAGAGAAAAGGTAAGAACATTAGCGCAAAGGCTTTTTGTTCTCCACAGACGCTGGAGAAAAAAGAAGTCTCTGATTCGGGGCCGGCATTCTAGGAACACTTGAAGACCATGCACTCCGCCCATCCATGCCTGCTGGGCACCCGCCTCCTAACATTCCTGGCCTTGCCTGTCTGGCCTCCATTCCTGTCTAGACAAGTGCTCACATCTCCTCGCTAAGCAACAGTGCCACCCACCTGTTATTGTTAATGTTTAATGTTTGTGTGCAGAGGTCTACAGAAGTACCTGTAAGTGTGCACCATACCATAGGATGTGGATGACAGATTTCATCCCATGTGCCAATCCAATGAGTAGCTGTAGCTACAGGGCACTGGGTTAAGAAAAATTCTGAAGCTGCACCCAGGTTCAGCATGAATAAGTGTCATAGAGAATATACTGGTATTTTTACTCTCACTTTGTTTTGGGTGGGGGTAGAGAGCAGGAGACAGTTCCTGCTCACACGTTGTGTGCAAATTTCCACTTCCAGCATGCAAAGCTCTATCTCAGTGTCTATTCCTGAAGAACCCAATACACCTCAACTAACCTGATATTTCTGGTTTGAGCAGTTAGGTAGATGATAATGGCTTTCACAGAAACAGAGTATACAGAACAATAACTAGGTTTTGAAAGGAAGACAGTAAATTATGTTTTGAATAAGTGGAGTCTGAAATATATTAGAACTCAGATCTGCAAATAAGACTCTTTTCAGCCTGGCCAGTGTTGCTCAGTGGTTGAGTGTCAACCTATGAACCAGGAGGTCACAGTTTGATTCCCGATCAGGACACATGCCCAGGTTATAGGCTCAATCCCCAGAAGGGAGCCTGCAGGAGGCAGCCTGTCAATGACTCTCTCTCATCACTGATCTTTCTATCTCTCCCTCTCCCTTCCTCTTTGAAATCAATAAAAAAAATTTTTTCTTAAAAAAAAAAAAAGATTCTTTTCAGTTTTAAAAATAAAGCTATGGAGAAGAGGGTAAAGGGGAGATAAATGGTGGTAGAAGAAAATTTGAGGTGATGAACACATAATACAATATACAGATGACGTATTGTAGAATTATACACTGAAACCTATATAATTTAATTAACCAATGTCACCCCGATAAATTCAATAAAAAGGAGATGAATTTGGTTCAGAACTTCTTACAGCCAGAAGAAAAAGGAGGACACATTCAATCCCCTGATTCACATTAGGAAAACCTGCCAGTTACTCAAAAAAGAGACAAAGGCTCTCTGATAGTTATAAAAGAAATGTCTGGCCAGTTACAAGAGCAAGTCCAAACAGCAATATTTGTACAGGGGCTGTTTGTGTTTTTATTTATTTATTTTTATTGATTTCAGAAAGGAAGGGACAGAGAGAGATAGAAACATCAATGATGAGAGGATCATTGATCAGCTACCTCCTGCATGCCCCCTTCTGGGGATCAAGCCCACAACGCGGACATGTGCCCTGACTGGGAATCGAACCGTGAGCTCCTGGTTCATAGGTTGAAGCTAAACCACTGAGCCACACTGGCCAGGCCAGGAGCTATTTTTAGAGTGAGTAGCCTCTGACGAAATCCATGATTGTGACATGGAAGTTTTATTCAAAATCAATTCCCAGGAGCAATGCCCCAAGCATTCAGTTTTTTGTGGTATAGCTCAACATAAAATCTAGAATTCCAACAAAAGGCCTGCCCTTAAAACAATCCTGTTATTTGCACTGGAAAAATAAATCCTGTGCAATTGTACTTTCTCACCACAGATGTTTACTTAGTATCTATGTCAAAGGTTCAACATACAGATATGCTGAGCTGTAGATAGTGCCAATGTATCAGTACAAAAGTGAACAGATGGTTTTACATGTTCCTGAAAACACACGGTGCCCAACCATGATACACTGCTTTCTTCACGGCCAAGGTGGTTCAGAGATCAGAAGACAAAACCTCCAGATAATGAGATTCAGATCCATGATTCTCTTCCAGAACCTCCCCAGCCCTGTGGCCCCACCGCAACTGCCCTCATTCAGGCACATGGCATCTTCACCCCCTCACAGCTTTTTCTCCTCCTCCTCCCCCCCAGTCCTTACCAAGTGCTCATAGTTAAATTTGCGAAAGTTAAGTGCAAAATCGATGCAACTCCACTGTAGCTGTCTCCCCACCAGCACACAACAGGGAGCCCTTTGAGGGCAGGCACTGGGCCTATTCAAAGTGGTCTCATGGCCTGGGGTACAGTAAGCACCATAAACTTGAGCACATGGGAATGGCAGGCTCTGGGGGAAGCTGAAAGATAAGTGTGCACACACAAGCAAATATAGTTTCATTCGTAGAGAGTTTTCTTGGTCACTATTTCCCCTGGGCTGTGCTTAAATAGGAGCTGGTATAAAATAAGGTTGAAAAGCAGATATGCCTTTCCTGGGCGGGGGGCACAAGAAATGGGGAGTGAAGACAGAAATGGGGTGCCTAGCACTTCCCACGGTGCCTTTGAGAAAAGGAACTTGTCCTGGGTGTTCTGGCTCCTGAGCTGACTGCTCAGTAGATACTACCCTCCCTACTCTCCCTCAGAACTCGGGGAAGATGCCGACGTCCCATTCTCACTCAGAGACCTAAGAGCTGAACTACGGGGCACACATCTGTTGCCTCCAAGAGGGGAACTCAAGGACAGACAGGTAAGTTACTTAAATTCTGCACAGTGGGGACAGCTTGAAAAAGTTCCAGGGTGTGGATCTGCAGGTGAGGCTGGCCCTGGTTTGCAATGCCTGCATTCCTTTCCCTTTTGTCCTTGGGCTCCTCTGCCAAGGCTGGTGTAGGGCTTTTGTCCTCAAAGGAAAAACCTGATTTCTCATATTTCTGTTTTGAACTTTAAGTGATATGCCATGTGTATTTTTCCTAGTTCTCATTTTCCTAAGACACTCTGGGCATGACATCGCACAGCCTTGGCGACAGCAGGGCAAGCAGGCCAGGAGCAGAGCCGCCTTACCTGTACCCAGTGCTGTTCCTGCCCACCACCAGGTGCTTGGGCTGATCCTCACACCTGTAAAGATTCAGGTCATTCTCGGGCACCAGGTCCACATCGTGGAAAATAAAGCAGTCCCACATTTCATCCTTGAGAGCTTCTATATAGCCCACATTCAAGAGTTTGGCTCGATTAAACTTTTTACTCCCAGCCTGTAGATAGAGAAGTGAAAGTTGAAAAGCTCCTGAGACGATTTCACAGTGGGCCCCCTTCAGTTCACATGCAGGAGTTGGTATGAATTACTCCTGCTACTCACAACTAGTGACAGGAAGAAGTGACAGTAGGTGCAATAACAATAAAAGACAGTCTGTTTCTTAATGTTTCATACAAACTTAAATTCCATAACTGGAAAACATACCATGAAATGAGTTGTCGTTGAATGGGTAAGATTCTCAGTTTTGCAAAATGAAAAAGTTCTAGAGATAAGGGGCACAAGGTGAATATACTTAACACTACTGAAGTGTACATCTATAAATAGTTAAGGTGGTGAATTTATATTATGCATAATTTTTCCACAATTTTTAACCCATATATAGTCCAAAAAAATTGTATATACACTTTAACAGTTGATAGCTCAATTTTGAAAATGAAATGTATTTTAATAAACACTGCCTTTATAATTATTCAAAGTGTGTGCACACATTTTGGGGGGGATACCACATATATATATTTTTTTTTCAAATGGATGTGAGGGCGATCTGGCTGCGACATCTGTCACCCCGTTGATTGCCAGGGTTGATGTGGCTAATCTGGCTGGCTAGGCAGTGTCCCCTTCCTTCCTCACCACTCCATGCTCATCCCTCCCAAAGCTGCACACTTCTTCGTCAAATAGGGTGACCTTCCCCAACAGAGAAGAGGATTTCTCTTCGGTCAAGGGTATATGAGTAGCTTCGCTCCTCTGCTAGAACCTCCAAACAAGCTCTCAAGGTCCCATAGTTTTAAAATACAAGTGAAAATAATTCAAAAAATTTAAAATATATCTTTATTCCATGTAAAACTACAAAACCTTTCTTACATACTAGTCATACTGATAAGTATCATTGCCTCACTGTTCAGCTCTAAGCTCATCCCAATATTACCCTATGTAATCAATTTACAGTAAGCTTCCAAGACATATAACTTGCCAGAAAAGACCAAGAGTTCATGACCTGCCTTAGCCAGTTTGCTCAGTGGATAGAGTGTTGGCCTGTGGAGTAAAGGGTCCTGGGTTTGATTCCGGTCAAGGGCATGTACCTTGGCTGTAGGCTTGATCCCCGACCTTGGTTGAGGAACATGTGGGAGGCAACCAATCAATGTGTTGCTCTGTCTCTCCCCGTCCTTTCCACTCTCTCTAAAAATCAGTGGAAAAATACTCTCAGGTAAGGACTAACCTAAAAAAAAATTAAAAATTTAAATTAAAAAAAAAAGAGTTTGTGACCTATAAACAGAAAAGGTTACTGATAGTATTTCTAAGCTACTTAAAAGTCTCTTGGAATCACTGTAAGAAAATTCTGTTTTCATGTTTAACAGCGGAAGCTAATCCCCACAGTGACCCCCCAAGAAGGGATTCATCACTGGGTAAGAAAAGAACACATTTCGACCAGTAATAAGATCAGAAGTAAAGCATGAAAAAGATTTCACAGCATTCATATTTTCATGGCTGTTTAGATCAAATTCCTTCAGAATAAATTCCAGTTCAATAAACAGTTTATCATAACAAAAATATAGGCAGTTCTCTCAAAAGTTTCCATAGTACTCTCCTGAAAAGAATAACACAAAGCAAACATTTTTCTACTCATGAAATATATATATTGGGTGTAGCTGTCCTGAGAAAAAAAACTCAGAGTGACTAACCATGTTAAAAGCAAAAATAATTATAAAACAATATAATAATAGTAAAATTTTGTTTCAAATACTAAAATAATAGGCATAGAGGTATTGTATATATACATTAATTTTCAAAAGCCCCAGTTCATTATAAAATATACATTGCAGAGCTATACATACCCTCTGACGTGTCAAAAGTTTTCATTAAACAAATATTACTGGTTATAACCAATAGCAAGGATGCAATTAATGATTTCTGCTTGCATTTTTAGCATTTGTAAGGATTTGAGGGGAAATTTTTGGAAGGCCCAGGGCAGTTTTGAAAAGCTAGACATGGACGTTTAAGTTGATGCCTTATTTTTCTTTCAATAAACATTAACATCAAATAAAGATATCTTTAATTACCCACTCCACTTTGCGCTAAACTCTTCAAATACTAACACTGACACTGTGTTCCTACGAAATCATGCTTCTGGAAGCCAAATAAGTAAATCAAGAAACAAAAAAAAGGCGGGGGGGGGGGGAGAAAGTGAAAACTAAACATGTTTTACATAATAAATAGTGGCAAACTTAAAGGCAGAATGGTGGAGAGGGTCATAGAACTCCATGCTATGAACACACAGTAGTCTGTCAAATCCTGCTAGATCCCCAGTGAGTAGCCACACTCAATAATGCAAAACAATTCCAACGTCTCATTGTGTAGTGTATAACGACGCAGAGGGAAACGCAGGTCTATCTCAGGGGGAAACTGCAGGGCAGCCATTGGCGAACATGGAAGGGCTCACAACAAAACAGGCCTCCTCCAGAGGTTTAGTGAAGTTTCCCAGCACTTAGCTCCATCACTCCACACTCCGGGACAAGAATTTCTTTCACTCCTTTCAAGGACGAACAAGGTAAGAGATCCCTCCTTTGACAACAGTCTGATGTGCCTTTTAACCAAGACAGACGGGGGGCCAGTACCTCAGAGAGAGGAGAATCTGAGGCAGAGCCCTGGCCTGTCCCACACCCACCTGGTGGATGACGTAGATGCCATATTCCAGCTGCTGCCTCTGCAAGAAGGGATGAAGGTGTTCTAGCAGGTACATCAGGTGTCTCTCTCGGTTCCGGTGTGGAATGAGGATGGCGACCCGCTGTAAAGCCTTACACTCCTCGGGGTGATACCGGCCTCTGTGCACTTTGGGATTTTCTGCCTGCACGTCTTCCAGAGTAAGATCTGGTTTGAAAACAAGCTTGTCCTGACCTCCTACAATTAAAACAGAACACAAGAAACAACAGCGGCTCTCTCCTTAAGTGTTGATAGGCTGGCATGAGCGAGTACACATGTAAGCATTTAGAACATTGCCTGGCACTGTATGAGTGCTAGCTTTTATTATGACTACTTCAAAGCCTCATTTGGTCATAAACTACAACTGCAGAATGATATGACTCAGGTTCTTGGCTACAAAAGCCAGAAAGTGACATATAAGAGCATTCCCTTGTGACTGGATAGCCAACTTCGGCTCAGTGATTCAGCCATAAATTAGAAATGCATTCTGTCGCCGAAACCGGTTTGGCTCAGTGGATAGAGCGTCGGCCTGCGGACTGAAAGGTCCCAGGTTCGATTCCGGTCAGGGGCATGTGCCTGGGTTGCGGGCATATCCCCAGTGGGAGATGTGCAGGAGGCAGCTGATCGATGTTTCTCTCTCATCGATGTTTCTAACTCTCTATCTCTCTCCCTTCCTCTCTGTAAAAAATCAATAAAATATATTTTAAAAAAAAAAAAAAAGAAATGCATTCTGTCCTGATGACCCTGGTGAAAAGCAGAGGGCAAGACTAGACTAACTTCAAATGTGCTCTATCCACTTTTCCTTCTCAAAGTTCCAAAGGAGGGTGAAGCCTCTTACAAAATCAAGAGTGTTCCGTGGGATCAAGCTCATGGACAAGACCCCTTACCCACTCCTTCCCTGGGCTCTCAGGAGCTATCCTAGCTCCTTGGAGGTAAAACAGCATAAGGATGTAGAAACTAGCCTCGCTCCCTAACCCAGCGATGGCAGGCATGTGCCATCGTAGCAGACATCCCCGATGGAGCATTTGCTCTGCGAGTCCGGACACAGCCTGGTGGGATGAAACCCAGGAGCCGTCCGTGGTAACCAACCTCATGCAAGACTTTGAAGATCAGGCTGAAGACAGGGACCCTCCTCTTGGGTCTGAATGAACAGGGAATACTGACTGGAAAGAAATGAGGCAGAGCGCAGGGAACTGAGCCACACTTCCTTGAAGCTCCATACACACTGGTCAGGCTGTAAGATCTCATGTTGCTTGCAAGTAGTGCTCTCCTCTTCTGAGCCAAACAACTGCAGGTCCTTCCTATGTACGTCACGGTGCCTCGCTCCCTGTGACCATCCCCTACCCTGGCTGTGGCTGCTGAGACCAGGCTCCAGCGTCCATGAAGTAAAGACTCTGCCAACAGCACCAAGGGCAAGTGACTGTTTCCAGCCACCTGAGGAGAGTAACTCCTGAAGGCTCTGCGTGTGACCAGAGTCAGCAGGCACTGAGGCCCTAAAAACAAACGCTAAGGAAAGGAGTAAGAAGAAAGGCAAGCTACCGGGGCCGCTGCCAGGCCACAGAGCTTCTGGGAGATGATGGTGTGGCTGTGGAGGTGGTTTCCTGTGTAGCCTGTTAATAAACCCCGTCATCCGAGTTACCCTGCTGCGCCTCTCTTCTTGGCCCCTGAAAGAGCCCCGTGCAACAGGTCTGATATAAGCCAGTCCCCTTGCTCACTTTCTCGTTGCCATGATTTTTTATGATCCTAACCTTCCAGTTCCTGCTTCCACGTCCTCTATCAGCCTCCCTACCACTCTCAGTTTTTGTTCCTTACGGCCCACCTTCCTCCATCTCTAATATGTCACCCTCTTAATCCAGGTCCTTGCTCAGTTTTGTGTCACTGCCCATCTATTTCTATTGTTGTTAATCCTCACCTGAGATATTTTTTTCATTGGTTTTCAGAGAGAGTGGAAGGGAGGGAGGGGGAGAGAGAGAGAAACATCAATGTGAGAGACACATTGATTGGTGGCCTCCTGCTCCCTCTCTGACTGGGGCCAGGGATCAAGCCTATAAACCAGGTATGTGCCCTTGACCAGGAACCAAACCTGCCACCCTTCAGTGCACAGGCCAATGCTCTAACCACTGAGAACGCAGGCCAGAGCTGCCCATCTATTCTTATAAATGCAGATATGGCTTAAATACGCTGTTATGATTTTGAACAAGGAGGATAATACCATCAGATTTGCACTTCAATAACTCATTTTCCTATCCCAGCTTGTGTAATTTCTGAGCAGAATAATTCCCTCACACAATTCAGAGTAACGTTTTGGCTTTTCCAGGACTAGGTAGAGAGAAGCATGCCAATACGAACACAGTACAAGACTGTGGTTCAATTAGGAAAGCAGGTCTGCAGGTTTTCGTAAAGAGCAAAAAGCCTCCGAAGAGCCCCAGGCTGCCCCACGGAGAGTTAACTGCATGTACACAGAGAGCCACCTCTGCAGGACAGGGAGGGGCACGGGCTCTGCAGGCTGGAAGGGCTCACCCTGCCTGCATCCTGCCCACACGCTGTGCCCTGGGGCAGAAAGACAAGCGTATGAACACACTGTGGTCAGCACCACAACAGGAATATAGGCCGACACACAGGGAGCATGAGATGAACTCTGGGGCAGTCCCAGAAACCTTTCGGGAAGAGAAGTTATCTAAGCTAGACTTTGTGTGAATAAACAGGAATCCACCAGGCAGACACGAATTGAGAAAAAGGCATCCTGGAAAAGGGAACAATATGTAGGCTCAGTGCCTGACAGACCATCAGCATTTAATGTCCTAAAGAATCAGAGGTGTGCTCGAATCTTTGTGGGTGATAGACAATATCGCAGTGGGGTTGTTCTCTCTAATTAACGTGTTCGCTAAAACCAGTTCACTGCTGATTTAAACTGAGAGGCAACACATCAAAGGGGAACATACAACGTATTTAAGAAATAACCACTAAATGCAACACTGAAGGACGGACTCAATCCTGTCCTTCCACACCATACTTTTGGCCAAAGAGATGCTAGCAGATGGGGCACAAATGGAGGCCTGACTGGCTTGTGTTTCTCCACTTGTGGTCTGCAGATGCCAGGAGAGAAGTGCCCAGGCCAGCCCGTTGGTCCCAAAAGGATGAGAGACCCGTGGAGCAGGGCCACCAGCCTAAACCAACTGGCCCCGAGCTCACGCCACAGACTTGTGAGCTAAATAAATAATGCCTGTTGACATGTGCAACTGGATAATAAAAGTGGATGTGCGCATATCGTGGAAGACTCTGCATCAGCCATATGGGCACAGCTCACACACATAACGTCGAACAACGGGAGTTCAGACACAAAGGAGTACACAGTGCATGTTTCCAAGTAGGCAGAGTTCAAAAGCAGGGGAATCTGTGGGTGGGTTACCATCCCAGAGTAAGGGTCGTGACTGAAAGAATGGGAACGCCTAGGGTCCCATGAAGATTCCATTTCATAATTTACATGCCGCTACACAGGTATGTTCATCTCATGAAACTTAGTTGAGCTGGGCACTTCTGATCTTTGTACTTTTCTGTATATGTATCTAGTAAAAAAATTTTATGTAGCCCTTGTAAAAAAGAAAGCAAGAAAGAAAAACAAATACTCACTGAGGTGTGGAGAGACGGAGGGGCAGTCGTCCAGGTCTGCTCTTTTCACAGAGGCTTCGTCAGCCAGAGTTTCTTTCTTCCCCAAAACCACGGCCTTTTTGAAAGTAGTAATGAAATCCTTTGCCTTAGGAATCTCCTGAATAGCACTCACAAAGTAGTTACTGGTGGCCCACCCCACCACCGTCAGGCATAAAGTAAAAAGCAAGAGTAACCGGAGTTTGTAGGAAAGGAAGGAAGTCACGTGGAAGCCCATGTCTTGTTATGTGAGCAGATGGGTCACTCCGCCTCACTGTGGGCAAGAAGGTTCCAGTTCCACTTTTCCAATCCGAATGCACGCTCGGTGACAGCTGAAGACGCAGTGCCTGCTTGTGCTCAGTAGTTCTGCTCCAACAATCTCTGGAAGGCAAGCACAAAGACGTGTTTCTGATGGAAATCCTACCCTGCGATGATGATTCACGTCACACGTCAGCGAGAACTGAAAACCTATCCCCCAGGGAACCTGACTGACAGTAATGGGAGTTCTCCAGCGAGGGTTTAGAGATCAGAAACTCAGAGACTTTCGAGGCAGAAGGTCCTAGCCACCTATACATCACAGGAGTTCTCTCTGGGTCATCTCTGTCACCCAGGAAGAAAGCCATGCCCAGGTATTAGGAGGAGAAAGCAGAGACGGGAAATGCCTCCTCAGCTTTGAGCTGGCACAGCCTAAAATACAGCCGTAAGGGTCCTCTTCCTAGCACAGCTATAAGAGAAGGTTAACAACCTGCGAAATATTGTTTCAGAGAACAAGACAGAAGCTCTATCCTGTGAGAGTTAGAAAAACATGTTCCTCAAAAACAGGGATGAAAAATCAAGAATTTTCACAATGAGGCACTGCATGGGCACATCCCAACAGGTGGAGGAGAGGGCAAGAAACGTAAGAGAAGGCCAATGCAGGAGGTCAATCATCTAAAAAATAACAGGTAAAACTGGTTATGGTCAGGGGTTTTGATTCAGACAGAAACTATAACTCCACCACATATTGGCCCTGAAACCTGTCTTCTTATCTATAAAACTAGTGGCCCAGTGCACAAAATTTGTGCACCGGGGTGGGGGGTGTCCCTCAGCCCAGCCTGCACCCTCTCCAATCTGGGACCCCTCGAGGGATGTCCGACTGCCGGTTTAGACCCGATCCCTGGGATGGGGCCTAAACTAGCAGTCGGACATCCCCCTCACAATCTGGGACTGCTGGCTCCCAACTGCTCGCCTGCCTGCCTGCCTGATTGCCCCCAACCACTTCTGCCTGCCAGCCTGATCACTCCCTAACCACTACCCTGCCAGCCTGATTGAAGCCTAACTGCTACCCTGCTGGCCCAGTTGCCCCTAACTGCCCTCCCCTGCCAGCCTGGTTGCCCCCAACTGCCCTCCCCTGCTGACCTGGTTTCCCCTAACTGCCCTCCCCTGTAGGCCTGGTCCCCCCCAACTACCCTCCCCTGCCGGCCATCTTGTGCCCACATGGGGGCGGCCATCTTGTGTGAAGGCATGATGGTCAATTTGCATATTACCGCTTTATCATATAGGATGGGGATAAATATAGTACCTACCCGGAGAGGTTACTGTGGGACTGGATGACCTAATATATTCATACATCACATGTTAGCCCACCTCCTGGTGTACAGGAGGCACCCACTACCTGGTGACAATCGCTGTTGATATTGTTATATGCTTTACTTTAAGTAACTTTAGGTTAGGAATGGCCAACAGGCAGACACACTGGAGGTTGGCAGAACCACCTTTCTATGTTTTTCACTGTCATTTGATAAACTGCCATGCTGATTTCATACTTAAGTATAAATCAATCTCTGAGGCCACATAAGTGAGGGCCCAGCTGGACCATGGAGAGTGCACTAAGGTGATGAAGGTGGTGAGTAGCAATACCCCCACATCCTCTCTGCATTGCCAAAATCACACCTCTCCTCAAATTTTAAACATGTTAACAGAAGAACACAGAAATGCTAAAGCCAGGGCATAATAATCTCTATAGCCAAACATATCCTCAATTATATAAATAGAATGAATATTTTCTATACCAAGTGATAACACAGAAACGCTTATGATTAAATCTTAAGTAACAAAAATTAAACAGAGAAAACAAACTCTATGTGTGTGTATGATTACTACTGAAATTATAGAAATAAGAAAACTCTAGAAAAAAATATAGCCAAAAGCTAGCAATAATTGTATCAGGAGTATGGGATTAGCCAAGGATATATTTTTCTCTTTTCTTTTCTAAATTTTGTATAATACACTTCTGTCTTTTTATAATGAAAACAAAGTTGCTTTTAAATGAGATGTGGGGATGTGGTAATTTACTATGAAAAACAAAAACAAAGTCTTAGCTACTTTCAAAAGGGCCTCATACTTACTGAAGGGTAGTATTTCAAAATGTAGCTGTAGGCTAGTTTGAGGGAAGCCTAGAAAGTATTTCTCTCTAGACACAACGTAATAGATGGAGGTTTAGGTTCTTGGGTCAAACCACAAAAGAGAGGTTTTGACCCAGCAAGCAATTAAACAGTATGACCTGTGTTTAGTCTTGAAGGTACCTAAAAAATAACAGTAATAACAGCTAATAAGAGTGGTTTATTTATGCATTTACTCTGTGCCATGTAATGTGGTTAAATCACTTTATCACCTTATTTAATTCCCATTTCAACCTTACGAGCTAAGAATTATTAGTCTCCTCATTTTATAGATGAAAAAAAATGAAGGTTTAGAGAGATTAAAGAACTTGCCCAAGACACACAAGTAGTAAGTGATGAAGCTGGGATCTGAGCCCACGTGGTCAGCCCCAAAGCCCGGGCTTCTGCCATATCCTTCACATGGACATTTCAATCTCTTTCCTTGTGGCCCGGGTGCACCCAACACAAACCCTGTCCATAGGCAGAGTTTTCTTTAGCAGCCTCCTATCTCTCTCCCACATCCTCCTGTCCCTTTCCTCAGGCCTGTTTGTTCAACGGGCTTCCTGAAGTTTCTTCTCTTCCCTCCAGGTAAGCCTGCAGATTCCTGGGGCCAATCAGACAACCTTGTGGACTTAATGGCAGGAAGCACAAATGCTAGGATTGCCAATAGCTTTTGATTAAAATCTCAATCTTGGAAAATTTGGACTGGAAGCATTGTTTTTCTAAGAGCTGCTTGTGGAGGGATGGTCCCCTAACAGGGACACTCACCTGCCTGAAAGACTTCTGATCACAGAACTACAGTGCGTGCACACACACACATTCTGCAGCGGGAGAGAGTGTTTTTTAGAGAGAGTTAAAAACCTACCCAAGTAGTGAGTTAGGAATAGGCATAGACTACTGCTGCTGAACTGCAGCCCAATTTTTCCAAATATAAGAAATTCATTATAAAAGCAAGGGGCCATCCTTATGATCTATAATAATAAAAGCATAATATGCTAATTAGACCAGATGTCCTTCCGGACGACCTTCCGGACAAAGCCAGGGCTGCAAGGGAAGCCAGTGCTGGCAGCTGGGGGAAGGAAGGCCTACTCTTGCACAAATTTCATGCATCAGGCCTTCCTTTTTAAGTTAACTAATTATTAGTTAACTTAATAATTAACTAATAAGTAGCTAATTATTAGTTACTTAATAATTAGCTCTTCATTGCTAACCCTGCTTATTGAGACTATGTTGGATCCAATTAAAAATAATCACTTCTTACTTTTTCTAGTCTTAGTGCTCTCCTCAAAACTGACTATACAGGGAGTCAGCACGAAGGAAGCTCACGTGTGAGGTCTCCGTGGTCCTGTGAGTGAACTTCCAAGGTGCAAACCGTCTCTAATACAGCTGTTTTTCAAGAGAGATCTCCCCAGCCTGCTTATCAGCTAAGTAACTGAAGACAATCCCTTTAGGCATGTTTCCCCAGCTAGAAAACAGTAAAAAAAAATAATTTACAATAGTTGCTGTAAGAATTTAATGAGCGTATATACACAGACACACCTCGTACATTCCAGGAACATGCTATAATGTGATTCATGCTCAAATTTTACCAGAATGCTAATAAAGATAATGTTACCTCTGAAGTTACATATTGAATACAGATTATTTTTATTTTCTATTTCTCTGTAACTTCCTATTCTTCCTTCAATTAGTATATGTTATTCCTATAATAAAAAAAAGATGATTTTTTTTAACAAAAGTTCTTTTTAGGGCAGGTAACTTCTGGTTGGTGTTTGGGGAAAATGTTATCAGAACAGACTTACTCATAATAAAATTTTAAAAACTGGGAGACCCGGAACTCTCTCTGAAGAGAGTTTTCTATTTCAATCAAGGTTCTCTTGAAGGAAAGAGGAATCATGGCTAGAGAAAACAAATTCAGGTAACATGAAATAAGTTATTTTAGGGCAAGACTTGCCACCCTTTTCCTTTCTAGAAGTTTGCCCTAGAGTTAGTTCAAAAATAATGTTTTCATAATTTTGTGTTTCCTCTTCTCAATTCAACCAGTCTTTTCTGAGCACCTGTTATTTTCAGGCATAGTGCTGGGCATACAAAGGAAAGACAAAGGGAACTGAGGTAAAGTCCTTACACCAGTGGTTCTCAGCCTTCCTAATGCCGTGACCCTTTAATACAGTTCCTCATGTTGTGGTGACCCCCAACCATAAAATTATTTTCGTTGCTACTTCAAAACTATAATTTTGCTACTGTTATGAATCGTAATGTAAATATCTGATATGCAGGATGTATTTTCATTGCTACAAATTGAACACAATTAAAGCATAGTGATTAATCACAAAAACAATATGTAATTATATATGTGTTTTCCAATGGTCTTAGGCGACCCCTGTGAAAGGGTCATTCGACCCCCAAAGGAGTCGCGACCCACAAGTTGAGAACCACTGCCTTACACTCAGAGATTATTTCAATCCTTTCTTAGACTTTAATGTCTGTGATCTGTTTTCAAATAGGCCAGCCCCACCTCAAAAATGGGGGAATAAATTAAATAAGATTGGCAAAATATGGAGAAGTACTAAAGCTAGATGATAGGTCATTTGCTTTTTCTCTCTACTTTTGTATATGCTTGAAACTTTCCATAACAATAAAAGAAAAAAATCTAGTAAGGAAGACAAGCTATAATAAGAGGTAAATCGGGCCCGGCTGGCGTGGCTCAGTGGTTGAGCATCAACCTATGAACCAGGAGGTCACGGTTGGATTCTGGTCAGAGCACATGCCTGGGTTGTGCGCTCAAGCCCCAGTAGGGGGCATGCAGGAGGCAGCCAATCAATGATTCCCTCTCATTATTGATATTTCTATCTCTCTCTCCCTTTCCCTTCCTCTCTGATATTAAGAAAAATATATTTTTTAAAAAGGTAAATCTTCCTGGATGATAAGTATCATTCCTAGGGAAACTTTACACACACAAATAATGCTCCACCATGGGGAGTGGGGAGGAGAAACAGAAGGTGTCACTCCACAAATATTTACTAAGCACTTAATCACCAGGAGGGAAAGATGTGGTTTCCATTCAGCTGCCAAAGGTGCCAAAATGGCACTCTAATGTTTCTAAATCCATCTGGCAATCCTGGAGGCACCTCAGAGTGGGCGCGCTGTGGCCGCAGGCACACGCTCCTGCTTCTGCTCAGGTGGCTTTCTCAGGGGCAGCGCCGGTGGGGAGGCTGGAAACTGCCCCTCCTTTCACTCCTGCAGAGTTCCTGAGAGCTGACTATCTGACTGTTTCCCCACATCGTCCTACCTTCCTTGGGCCCCTGGTATTCACTCTCCTGATTATAGCTCCTTTGCGTGGGTTCTGAATCATCACTGCCCAGACCCTAAAGAAGCAATGGTTCTTTGGTTGGGAGGGGGGCTAGAAGTAGCCATTTACATGTACAAGCCATTAAACTCAAAGGCTGAGCTCCTAATGGCCCCAACTGGAAGCATCTGAGCAAGCAAATAATGATGGTGTGGATGCAAATCTGTAAGAAATCATAAATTCCTAACTGGGCCGGTCATGGTGGGTAGTCACACCTCAGGCCTATAACTTCTTTAGTGAAAGGTTATTAAACAATCCTTGTCCATTGTTCTTGTGCAGTTAGGGCAGTGATGGCGAACCTTTTGAGCTCGGCGTGTCAGCATTTTGAAAAACCCTAACTTAACTCTGGGGCCGTGTCACATATAGAAATTTTTTGATATCTGCAACCATAGTAAAGCAAAGACTTATATTTTTGATATTTATTTTATATATTTAAATGCCATTTAACAAAGAAAAATCAACCAAAAAAATGAGTTTGCGTGTCACCTCTGACACGTGTGTCATAGGTTCGCCATCACTGAGCTAGGTTAACACACCTTGGAAATGACAGAAGTAATCGCCTCAAAGGCGTAACCTTTGAGAGAAAACAGAATTTTAACTATCCTGTAATTCAAGATAGTACATAATCTTAACTATCCTATAATCCAACCCTGCCTTGCTTTCTCCCACCTTCATGTAATCTTCCTTATGTTCTCTCCTTAATTTCAAACACATAAAAGAAACTACAAAACTGTTATTCTCCCAAGCATCTGAGGCCTTGCTTTCTAGCAATTGTCAGTTTGGCTCAAATAAATTCTTATGAAAAGTCTCTCTATGTTTGGATGTTTCTTATGTGGACAACAGCATTGTACTGTAACCTTCAGAAAAAACTGAATATCCATGAGTTCACAATGATATAAATGATCAAATAAACTTCCAATTAATAAGGAAGCAGGAGATGAAAAAAATCACCATTAGGCAACACCACTGCACTAATTGTCGCAGACAAGAACCACCATGGGTGCTCAAATTAATGGGTGAATATTTGAGAATAAACAGAGTTTACATAGTCTCAAAATATCTCCTCCAGGATAATTATTAACTACAAAAGAAAAGACAGTTAGCTTTATAGGGGAGAAACCTAGCAAATATCACCTTAACTAAGTGATCAAAGTTAATATCACCCGTGATAAGACCTCTCAACTTCATGAATCAGTGGTAATATAACACTCTCTCTGATCGGTACTCTCTACAAAACTTTATTCTACAAAATAATTAACTGGTACTCTTCAAAAGGGTCCAAATAATGAAAGGCAGGGAAAAAAAACTGGAACTATCTCAAACTGGAGCAGACAAGGGGAAATAACTAAAGGTAATTAGTAGTGTCCTGGATGGAATATGGAAACAGAAAGAGAAATCATTTGGAAGCTAGAGTAGGTGTGATTACCGCCTCCGCCTCGGCCATCGCGTCCTCTGTTCTCTGCTGCCCAGAGAGAGTGAGGCGGGGCTCTGGAGTCACCATGGAGCCCTATTTGCCGATGGAGGACAAGACCAGGGAGCCCGCAACCCACCACTCCATGGACCCTTCCTTCCATTTCTTGGTGACTATCCTTTGCCACTGACACCACGGTGGGTACAGGGATTGCTTTCTGTCTTTCAACAGTTACTGGAGTGCATGTTTGGGATTTGTGGGAGAAAGCTGGATACAGTAAATGGAAAAAATCTTGGAAGCTGCTTGACAGCTGTCGTTTCTCAGACCAGTCTGAAGGGGATATGCTCATTCGTTGGATGGGTGGATCTGAAGTACAAAATAATTTCTAGATAAGTAATGAGACGTCACCTGTGATCTTCTCCAAAAAGAGGCCATCAGAAGGAACTATCACAGAGAAAAACCTGTGTATTAAATTTTGACCAGCGGTCTGAAGCAGATCAAATGGAAGTTGTGGAGCACCTTGTTTCCCAAAGGTTATTAGCAACATGGACCTGCTGACTTGTCCCTGGAGCCCATGCTGCACGGGGACTCCATTACCACTTCACCAGAGCAAAGCTTAGATCGCAAAGCAGGAGACATTCTTTCCTACCTGGATCCCAGGTCTCTGCATGTGGCAGAGCTGGTCTGCAAAGAACAGCAGCAAGTGTTCCCAAGAGATGCTTTGGAAGAAGCTGATTGAACGAATGGTGGGCACGGACCCTCCCTGGAAGTGACTTTCAGAAAGAAGAGGGTGGGATTGGTGCCTGTTTAAAAATACAGCCACAGCCCTGGCCAGGTGGCTCAGTTAGTTGGAGCCTCATCCCGTACACCAAAAGGCTGAGGGTTCAATTCCCAGTCAGGGCATATACCTAGGTTGTGGATTTGATCCCCAGTCAGGGCGCATATGAGAAGCAACTGATGGATGTTTCTCTTTCTCTCTCTCTCTCTCTCTCTCTCTTCCTCTCTCTCTAAAATCAATAAACATATACTTAGCTGAGGATAAATAAATTAGTTAAAATAAAAATAGACCCACAGGTAGCTCTCCCAATTCACTTTATAGACAACAGATTCCAACTGCTAGTGAGAACCTCACAGCTTGCAGAGGATTCAGTGTCCCCCTGAAAACAGTGAAGGTGTCTACTGTTCACACTATGATGATGAAAAAATTATCAATGGCCTATGAGATAATTCTATTAAGATCTGGGATAAAACCAGCTTGGAATGTTTGAAAGTGTTAATGGTGCACACGGGCTCTGTCCTTTGTCTCCAGGATGACACGTATCATTGTGATTAGCTCTTCAGACTCTACAGTGAGGGTCTGGGATCGTAACATGAGTGAAGTTCTGAACATGTTGATGCACCATAAGGCTGGACTGCACTGACGCTTCAGCAATGGACTGATGGTGACCTGTTCCCAGGACAGCTCCAACGCTGTGTAGGACATGGCTCTGCCAAACCAATTTCACTCTGCTCCTGGTTGCCCACTGCGCTGCTGTCAATGTAGCAGACTTTGATGATAATACACTGTATCTGCCTCTGGTGACAGACCATCAAAGTCTGGAGCAGGAGTACCTGTGAATTTGTTCGTACTCTGAATGGGCTCAAGCAAGGCATTGCCTGGCTCCAGTACAGGGACTGGTTGGTTGTTAGGGAATCATCAGATAGGTCA